CCGTTTCTGTGGCCCGTTGCCAAAACAAACCGAACGCGCGTTAATTGCCGCTAATTATTCGATGAGTTCGTTAACGGCGATCCGTTTTCGCGATATGGGCCATCCGTGCTAGAAATTCGCGGTAGAAATTCCCGTCTGAATTAAAAATCCGTCAATACGCTTGCTCGTTTTCACGCGATCGGATCGGATATTTGAATTCGGTTCACCTCTGCGTTCGACGAATGTTTATCGTATCGAGGGTAAATGGGGAGGAGGGAGTGTATTTTCCCTGTATTTTTTTTTGGATTTTATCGAGTAGTATTGTTCCTTTTTAATTCGGGTATCGAGGAGAGTGTTGAAGAGAGTGTTTAGCGATGGAGGAATATTTTATTGAGAATTTTATTGAGGGGAAATTATGTTTGGATAGATAAAATATTGATAGAGAGGAATTTGAACAGATAACGCGTGGGATTGATAACAAAAACGAGTGGGATCGCGTATGACAAAAGCAAGGAGGAATTTGAATTTATTATATTTTTTTTTTTTCTTGATCTATTTAGTACTTTGTCAGTGGCAAAAATATTTTCGAGTAGTGTGTTTGAAAGATATAAAAACAGGAAAAAAGAGGCTTCAATCAAACGATATTATTTATTTGTGCGATGACCTAATGAAACGATTATCTCTTGCTTGCTATCTGAATTTTCAATGCGCGTTTCCGCACATTTTACGTAGAATGAACACAAATCTGAAACAGTAATAAAATTTTAATTTTTATCGTGTGAAAGGAAGAAAACAATGAATAGAATTCTGCGACGTAAAAAAATAAATATAGTAAAAATTAAACAAACGATTTAATTAATATTAATATGTTATATCTCTAAATATTTATATATAGTCTTCCGATCACGTTTATCTTCTTCGCAGATCTCCAAGAATCTCTAAGCTACGATGCAATCCATGAACAGAATTTTTATCGAAACTCGTCATTTTGAAAATTTGAAAATCAATTTCAATAGTCATCTTTTTCGACATATAACGAGTAGCAAGCAAGTTTATTCATAAACATTGCACAACTCTGAAATAAAAATAAATAAAACAAAAATAACTGTCTAAAATAATCCACAATCACG